AACACTACTGGGATCTGTAAGAGGAAAAAGAAAAACTACAAACAATAAACAATACTTTGAAAGAATACTGTAAATTCTATAAACTGTTGACTTTCTTTATGATTGAAATATAAACTCTAGAATCCAAATTCGGGATGTGGCACAATTCTATGTATACAATGGTAGTTCAGAAATGGTTTCCAAATAAAATAAGTTTAATTGGAATTTCTGAAAAGCTGGTCTTGGGGTTTTATTCGTTTTTAGCTTTAAATATTTCTTTGTTTCAACTCAAATAAAATCTGCTATTTTTGGTCAGCAAATTCTATGCAATATTCCATCCAAATATTCTTCAACTTTTACTGGACCACATTGCTGCCTGCTGTATAATTTCAAAAAAAATAGTTGATCAATTCCTGGGTAATATCACTTGTTGTACAGATATGCTTAGTTCCAAGCCAAACAGAAGCTATCCTTTCATTTTGTCCATTCTGCAACTGATAAGCTAACAGTTCGGCTGGTGTGTTACCTTTTCAAGGTATTTGCCTTTGTTAATTGTCACGGCTGCCTGGACTCCGATGAGAAGACGTGCAGTGAGCAGCCAGTTGAAGAGCTGCCAGACAAAGTGCTGCCTGAGCGGCTGCAGGCATCAGAGGCTACGCTGCCCAGAGGGTAGCCATCAGATGCAGATGCTGCTGGTCCCTAAAGATGAGCAATCTGAGCTTCCACCCCTTCTGTCTGTGCAGAGAGCACAGCGGAGCAAAGACGCTCTGAAGGAGAATATTTGCAGCCCAGTATACTAGCGCTGATGATGTTACTTACTTTAGGTAGTGAAACATCTGCAAGAAAACAACTATGCTCAGACAGCACCTAGGACTCCTCCTCCTCTTCCTCCTCCTCCTCCTCCTCCCTGCAAACCCATTCCCTTTGAGCACTGATGATGTTACCTAGTTTGGGTAGTGAAATGTCTGCAAGGAAACAACCAAGCGCAGAGAGTACCAAGGATCTCTCAAAGATGTTTTGTATGTATTTTAAATAGATTGTCAGCCGCCCTGAGTCCTACGGGAGAAGGGCGGGATATAAATCCAAAAATAAATAAATAAAAATAAATAAATAAAAGGCTCTCACAAGACAAGGGCCTGGCCCTTCCAAATGAGCAACACAAATTTCTTCTTCACATTTAAATTAAAAATTAAAGCAGAGAGGAATGTTCAGCTGTAAGTTTTCTCAGGTTTTCTAAGGAATTCATTCAAATATTTCAATTCGTTTCTTTTCTGAAGACTTTTCAACAGGCATTTTTGATGACTTTGGACTTTGCACATTCATTGTCCTGGCCTTCTGCATAATAGATTTTTAAAAACCAGGAAGTGAGAACTTAATATTGCTCTTTTTTTTATTACCCAGGAATTTCTGGCACCTGGGTATCCTACCTGGAACACATTTTCTGTATCTGAAGGATTCTGAGAATAAACCATCAAGTTAATCTACTCCAACAGATTATTTATCCCATTCTTTATGCAATTCTTTAACATCCCAATGTTGCCACAGCAAAAGTCATCTTCCAAACATATCCCTCTTCCATATTAGCCTTAAAACTCTCTTTTGGCTGCCTGAATTGAATTTGAATTCCTTTTAAATTATTTGATCAGAAACACCCGAAGGCAGGGCAAGAAGCAATGGATGGAAACTAATCAAGGAGAGAAGCAATTTGGGACTAAGGAAAGATTTCCTGACAGTGAGAACAATTAACCCAGTGGAATGGCTTGCCTTCAGACGTTGTGGGTGCTCCATCACTGGAGGTTTTTAAGGGACTGGACAGCCATTTGTCCAGAATGGGATAGGCTCTCCTGCTTGAGCAGGGGGTTAGACTAGAAGACTTTCAAGGTCCCTTCCAACTCTGTTATTCTGTAAATGACAACTTAGGAATTTCTTCTTGTAATTGATTCTGTCCATTCATTAATTACATTTTTTTTTAACTCAGCCAGAATTTTAGTAAAGAGGGAGGAATTGTTTCATTACCTTATCATGTTGAAACCTTCATATTGCCATTACTGATTCCTCCTCCTCTGACTTCTGTACAAAAAAAAATCTTTACCTTCTATTTTCTTATTAGAAATGTAGTACTGTATATTTCCCCTCCTTTAATGATTTTTTTTCAGACACCCTTGAACATTGAGCTTTATCAGGAGAGGAGTAAAAAGTTTCTTTTTCCAGTATAATTAAACTGGGGAGATGCAAGGCAGATCAAAGCCACATTTATCCAGCTTAGCACAAAGGCTGCGTAGGTGGAGCTGATCAAGCATAGATCAATTCTGTTCCATGGGTATAGCTGGATCCTCAGAATAAATGAACAAATCATCCAGATGAACTATCACCTATCCTGACCCAAAAGATGTATAAATCTTACACAGATGTACAGATTGAAAGATAAATCAAAGATATTGCCATGCATTCAAATTTTCCAGAAGAGATATTTATGGCTCTTCTTCATCCAAATTAAACATAGTGTGTTTTCTGACACTGGTAAAAAAAAAATGCTTTTTGTAGTTGTCTTAGAAATTCAGAGAACAGTGATTCCTAATGGTTACAGAGTCACAGAGGAGTGTGGAAATGGCCTTGACGAAGGTATTCAGCGGTGTTACATAAACACCAGCTCAGGTATGGAAGGGAGGAGTGAGTCAGAAAGAATCTTAAGATTGCTCTGCCTTGATTTTCTTGGGTATGAGAGCAGCGGAGAAAGTCTCTGTCAGGCTCTCAAGATACCTTGTCTCAAAGGCTTTTTCAAAAGGCAACTGGACTCTTTTTTCCTTGAAGAAGAAGAAGAAGAAACGATTGGGGGGGGGAGAGGAGAAGGATCATATTTCTTTGTAGTCATCTGGTCATTAGCATTCTCCCTGAGCACTCTTGAGGCTACTTGGGGGGTTCATCTGTGGGGGTGGAATATTCTTGGAACTGCTGAAAGGACTATGTTGTAGACAGGAGATGGGTGGTGTCTTCTTCCTCCCCCTTTGTTAAGGGAGGGCTGCTCAATTTTAACATAAATGGCCTTTGACCCCTCTTTCAAACCAATGATCCTCCCTATCCAGAATGTGGACTTTGTTCCAGGAACATTTCATACCCATTTGCACTCCCGATGCCCCTGAGGGCACAGATAAACCCCCAAGAGGTCTCACTGCCTCTCAGCGAGAGTGCGACTGTCCAGAGGTTTACAAAGAAATATGTTCCTTCCATCCCCCCACAATCCAGCCTCAATTGTCAGTACCTTTCCTTCCATATTGCCACCATCAGAACTGATTAAGCTTCTTGGATGAGAAGTGAAATGTTTTCTTCTACCCTGCTGACATCCAGGTACCAGTCCCGTGTCTGACCACACCTGGAATACTGCAACCAGTTCTAGTCCCCAGACTATAAAAAAGATGTTGAGACCTTGGAAAAAGTTCAGAGAAGACAACTAAGATGATCCAAGGCCTGGAGACTAAAACATACGAAGAGCGGCTGCAGGACCTGGGTTTGGCTAGTCTAAAGAAAAGAAGAAATAGGGGAGACATGATAGCAGTATTCCAGTATTTGAGGGGCTGCCACAAAGAAGAGGGGGTCAAATTATTCTCCAAAGCACCAGAGAGCAGGACAAGAAACAATGGTTGGAAACTGATCAAAGAGAGAAGCAACCTGGAATTAAGGAGAAAGTTCCTGACAGTGAGGACAATTAATCAGTGGAACAACTTGCCTCCAGAAATTGTGGGTGCGCCATCACTGGAGATTTTTAAAAAGAGGCTAGACAGGCTAGACATGGTATAGGTTCTCCTGTTTGAGTGGGGAGATGGACTAGAAGACTTCCAAGGTCCCTTCCAGCTCTATTCTATTCTAAGAGGCTCTTTGGTGGCTTCATTTTAAAAGGAGTTGCAGATTTCTCTGGGACAATTTACTCAGCCAGAAAGAATTCCTAACGGTCCAGTGGCATTTCCCCAGCTGGTCAATGAAGGATTCCTTGGGGATTCTTGGGATTCACCTGTTTACTCCCACTCCACCACAAGGAGCCAAATGTGGAAAAAATGGGGTGACAGCAGCAGCCTTCGGGGTGAGTGCCAGGGCATCTGCTTTTTCTCTCCCCAGCCCCCCTTCTCCCGTCTCTCCGTCTCAGCTCCAAAGCTGCCCTTTCGATGCAAGCAAGTCAAGGTTTCTGAGTTGCAAGTTGGCTGGGCTGAGAAGACCGAAGCGAGTTGTCCCATTCCGGCAAAAATGGTGGTAAAAATGATCAGCCCTAGTTTGTGATAAACTAGTCCCTGGGAGGGGGAAGGAATCTGGGCAAGACGGTCCTGAACTGACCCAGCTGTTGTTGGGGGCATTGAGGAAGCTGTTGCTGAACCATGTCTACTGGATCTCTTGACCTTGACCAGACTGGCCAGGGTGACTTTAAGATGGATTCACTGCCATTGATGGACCACAGTCCCCTACTCTGTCCTTGAGGGTTAGAAATTAGAATTAGAGATTCTTCTGGATTCTTCCAGAAAACACGGGCCAGGGTATGTTGGGGGAGAGGGCAGATCTTCATGACAGGCTTCTGTCAAGAGTTGGTGGCATTTAAAGTTTAGGCTTGCAATCCTAGCCATGTCCAGGGGACGTCGCTTGGCGGTGCGTGTCAGGACAGGAGCAGAATATGCCAAACTCATCCTTAGAACTGCCTATATTTATCATGGTTTTTATTATCGCCTGTTCACCGCCCTGAGTCCCGTAAGGGAGATAGGGCGGTATATAAATTCAATAAATAAATAAATAATAAATAAGTCAGAAAGGCCCCTGCAAGATGTGCAGCGTGAGGAGACTAGATTTTTTCCCACCCTAATTGCAGCAATTTCTAACATATTTCATGAAAGTATTTTATTTACATTTATTGGCCATCAGCTCGAGCGGGGTTCCCCAAAGAGCTCCAAACAGCTCCATGCAGATTTCCCCGTTCCTTTTCTCACCCCCGTTTTTATTTAACTGGAGAGCCACTGAGGGCCCGAGAGACAAAGGCACCATACCAGCCATCCACTCCGGCTTTCTGCAGCTCTGAAATGCCAAAGGAGAGAGATCCCATAAAGTCATTTCTGCTGGTCAGATCCCAGTCCCAGATCTCCACCGATAGTCGCCTGCCCTTGTCGGACTCTTTCAACTGGCTGGAAAAAACAGGGGGAGGAGGAGAGAGAAGAGACATTAAGATGCTATTTTCTGGGGAAGGGGCTGCTTTCTGCAAGCTTCCATGCATTTCACCCGTCATCGCCCATCATTGGGAAGTGGTGGTCTTCTAGAGTAGCCTGCGCCCCTAATGCTGAAATTCTAAACTAGGGGTCTCCAAACTTGGCAACTCTAAGACTCATGGACTTCAACTCCCAGAATTCCTCAGCCAGCATGGTTGGCTGAGGAATTCGGGAGTTAAAGTCCACGAGTCGTAAAGTTGCCAAGTTTGGAGACCCCTGGTCTTGACACTGGCCCTTTCAAATGAAAATGTTCAAAAATGTCAGTTTCTGATCCCACAGTGTTATAGTATATTTTTCTGAGTTTTCCAACTGGCGGAGGAGAGGGGAAAAAATACCACTTCCCCATTCTCCTTTCTTAAAATGCAACATTTTCCCCCTCTTCATTAATTCTAGGGAAGTTGCAGGTAACTAAAATCCTGTCTTGAGGCATCTGAAGCCGCGAACTATAATAAATGAAGCAGGGGTGGATGTGAGATGGAGAGCCCTGAAAATCCCAGAAAGTTTGGCAACAAAAAACAGAAAGAAGATGGAGAATGGAACGATGGCAGGATATGTTAGATCTAGCTTTACTTTCATGCATGGCAGTAGATTTCTCTCCTCGGGCACCCTGACAGCTTGAAGCTCAGCACGGCTCCCTTCCTTGCCAACGCTGTGCCTCTTCACAGAGAGGCAGCATTGGCACAGAGGTTCCCCCCTCCCATGCTATGCTGCAGCAGGCCCCATGGTGAGGAAGAAATCTGAAAAGTTTGCCCAGGAAATTAAGGCAGGGAGCAGAACTTCTTGGAAGCTGCCTCCCTTTGAGGAACAGCATAGTTTTATCTCGGTTACTCTTGTCTATGCTGTGAGTAACAGAATGACAGAATTGGAAGGGACCTTGGAGGTCTTCTAGGCCAACCTCCTCTTCAAGCAGGAAACCCTATACCATTCCAGACAAATGGTGGACCGATCTCGTCTTTAAAAACCTCCAGTGTTTTTGGAGTCAAAGCTGTCCAAGATCTGCCATTGGGGAAGTCTTTTCCTTCACCTGGCATCCGAATATGGGATTTTCTGCTTGGGTTCTGTCTGAGTTATAGTCCCTTTCTGGTGTCCTACATAGTGGGGGATCTGGAGGAAGGGATGACACGAGATGTTTGTCCAGCAACATTATGCCCTTTCTTGACTGCCTGTTTTAAGATATGGGTAGCATTGGCAATAGCACATAGACATATACCGCTTTGCAGCCCTCTCTAAGCAGTTTACAGGGTCAGCCTGTGGCCCCCAACAATCTGTGACCTCATTTTACGGACCTTGGAAGGATGGAAGGCTGAGTCAACCGTGAGATGGTGAGGATCGAACTCCTGGCAGTTGGCAGAATTAGCCTGCAATACAGGTAGTCCTTGACTTGCCACAGTTCATTTAATGACTTTCGAAGTTACAACAGCACTGAAAAAAGTGACTTATGACAATTTTTTACAGTTACGACTGCTGCAGCATCCCCATGGTCACATGATTTATACTTGGATGCTTGACAATTGGTTCATATTTATGACGGTCGCAGTGTCTGGGTCACGTGATCATCTTTTGCGAATCAGTGGGGAAGCCAGATTGACTTAACAGCCGTGTGACTAATTTAACAGTTGCAGTGATTCCCTTAACAAATGTGGCAAGAAGGGTCATAAAATGGAGTAAAACTCACTGAACAAACTTCTCACTTGGCGACATAAATTCTGGACTCAACTGAGGTCGTAAGTCGAGGATTACCTGTGCTGCATTCTAACCCCTGTGCCACCACAGCCCTGGATGCCCCGGAAATCACACGACACCCAACATTCAAATGTTTCGTCTAGCAATACTCACAATTTGAAGGTCTCATTCCATTCGGGGTTCAAGGAACATTTGATGGTTTTAGTCTTCTGTTTGCTCTCGCTTTTTGGGTCAGGTATGAGCTTGAGTTTCACATACGGGTCTGACAAGCCATTGGGATCCATCGGAACAAGATTTTTAGCATCTCGTACTAAAACAGAAAGGAAAAAAGACCCTGAATGGTGTAAAGGGGCAACAATATCCATTCTCTCATGCATTTACAAGCGGGAAAACTCAATGGGCTCAATTTGTGATGACACGTCCTGCCACGGCTGAAGCACATTTGAGTCCTCCAGAACAATTGAATAGAACGTGGCTTATTTGCAGAAGAAATAAATACCCACCGGCTGGAGAGTCACAATTTTCTGTGCTGTGTTTGTGTGTATTCAGTACCATGGTAATCCACTCTCCAATTATCCCTCGCTCCATGTGCTGGCAGATCTTTATATATTCATTTCTTTTCAGGTTTTTATTTTTAACTCAGAATCTTTTAAAATGGAATTGTCTTTTGCTGCTCTTCTGAGTCACCCAGAGGTCTCTGGTCCAATAAAAAAAAATCAACTCACAAGGACAGAAAAAAGAATCTTCCCACCGGTGTTCCTGACTTAAGGCCACACTATATGTGCAGCATCCATTCCATTTAGGATGTCAGGAAACAGTGACAGAGGGAAACTCTAACTCGACTTGTCATCTTGGTCCAAGACTGTTCTCAAAAGACACAATGTTCTCATTGAGAAACAGCTGCTGAAGCTGCTCAGCCATCCCCTAAGTGCTACTTATATAATGAAATGCAAATTAATAACACCCCACAATTAATAAACATCTCAGACTTGGGCCAAGGAGACAGTACTGAGTCCAGCCACTTTCTGGGTGAACAGTCCAGGGCAGGCAGACATCTGCAGTAAGGAATACCCTGTATCCAGAGATGTCAGGAAGAGGGGGGGGGAAGGCTGCCATTTGACTCAAAGATGCCATGAAGATACCCATTACTGGGCTATCAAAATGAGGACCAACACTACTGTAATTAAAGCATGATGAGGCCAGGGACTAGGACCATCTTAGAATAAAAGAGATGGCCATCAAAAAATATTCTTATCTAAGAAATCTCTTGCAAAGAGTCCCTGCTCTATTTCAGTTAACAAATGGACAATTATCTAGTCCATGAATATTAAGACACACGGATCTATTCATGCCCAACAGTGTAAAATGAAAGATTTTAGAAGGAATCCAAATGAAATGGGAAACATGAATACTGTACCCCAGAAAAATAATGCCTGCCCTTGAAAGAACAGTCCACAGAAGGATGGGTGCCACTTTTTCAATATCAGCAGCTGACAGAAAGATGTATTATTTAAAGCATACTACATTGCAGTGAAATTTGCATAGCCAAATATGCTAATTGAAAGATTAGCCCTTTAATGACTTTTAGCACATACAGACAATCGCTGGAGATTAGGGAAAACAAGAATACCCAGATCAAATCTGTCCAAAATATTTGGGTTTTATTGAAGCCACAAAGCCCAAACAGCTGATGGAGGTCTATCAGCAGAAGCTGGATGCCATCTATTTGGGATGCCTTCATTCAGACTAGGAGGCTGGGTAGCTTCCAAGATCCCCTCCAATGCCACGATTAATAAAAGCTCAGCCTGGATGCTCAGCTCAGATTGGGAAAGACACAAGCAAATTCAAGAGGCTACTGGCATCCTTAATGAGAAATGGCAGGGACACTATTACAGGAGAAGCAGCTTTCCTTCAGAAAAGGAGAATGTTGCCCAAATGAGAGCAGAGAAGACACATTTGCATAATAGAAGGCAATAACAGTTGCAAAAAGGATTACGGACATATACAACTTATGTAAATAAACTTTAAAAGACATGGGAAAATGCAAATAGCCAATCCCCAGAGAACAAAAGATTTGAAGAAAATCTGAAAGAAGATAATGAGATAGCACATCAACTGAACACCACCGTCTGTGCACCAGTTTTCATTGAAGATGAAGGAGAGCCAGTATTCATTTCTCAACTAACTTTCTCAAGAATTGTTTTAGGAACAACAGAAAATCCTTGTAACAACAATGAAGTTTGCATCCTTACTGACAAATGAAAGCCAAACCCCTCATGGCAAAGCTGAGTAGGTTCCATGGGAAGGAAAGTTGATAGGAAAACAAGATCAAAATGGGTGGGATGTTCCAAAATCACAACTGCAAGCCATTCTAAAGAAGAGGCCACCAGAAGAAACCTACGGAAACATACAGTAAATGGAAACAGGTCAGGACACAGAGGAAGATTCAGTAGTGCTGGTCCAGGAAGCAAAAGCTGAAAAGAAGCCCTGACGGAGTTCTGAAGGAGCTTATGTTGTTCCGGAGGTGCTTTTCCAAAAGGCAACTGGGCTTCCCTGAAAACTGAAGCTTCTTCGCTTTTTCACAAGGCAACTGGACTTTCTTGTTTTTCTTTGAAGATGTTTCACTTCTCATCCAAGAAGCTTCTTCAGCTCTGACTAGATGGTGGGGAATGGAAGGATTTATACTCCTTGAAGATAGCTGGTCATTTGCCTTCTTTTAGAAAATCATTGAGGCCACCTGGAGGTTTACAGTATCTGTGCCCTTAAGCTCACCAGAGTAGTGAAAATGGGTATGGAGCCTTCTTGGAATTGCTGAAAGGACTGTGTTGTAGACTGGAGATAAATGATGTCATATCCCTTCCCCCCTCCCTGTTGAAAGAGGACTGTTCAATTTTGACCTAGATGGCCTCTTTGACCCCTCTTTCAAACCAGCGGTCCTCTCTGTCCAAAATGTGGACTTTGCTGTCTTTGAAAAAGTGGCCTTTGTCTTTTAAATGCAGATGGACTGCTGAATCACTGATTTCTTGCAACAACTACAGAAGGACAATGCCATTAACAAGCCACAATACTACTGTCTTTATGCTGGGGAAGCCATGACATGCATATATGGTCTCCCCAAAATCCACAAAGAGGGAACACCACTCAGACCAATTGTTAAGCAGCATCAACGTTGTCACTTACAACATTGCAAAACATCTAACCACCTTATTATCTCCTCTAGTTGGCAACACCACCCATCACATCAACGATTCATAGGACTTCACCAACAAGGTTTGGAAACTAAAACTGGACTCGGATGAGATCATGGTTTCCAATGATGTGACTTTCCTCTTCTCCTGAATTCCAACAACTGAAGCTGTCATGGTAGTAAAGAAATGACTGCTACAAGGCAGCACCTTAGGTGACAGAACCAACCTCAGCCCAGACCACATATGTGCCATGCTGGACCTCTGCCTGACCACTACCTATTTTAAATACAATGAAGATTTCTACAGAAAGAAACACGGCTGCGCCATGGGTTCACCTCTGTCCCCCTTTGTGGCCAATCTCTACATGGAAGAGGTAGAAACAAAATCCCTAAACTCCTTCACAGGAATTCCACCCACTTATTGGTATACGTATGTGGACGATACTTGGGTCAAGATCAAAACACAAGAATTGGAAGCGTTCACCAAACACATCAACTCTGTGGACAGATACATCAAATTCACACAGGAAGATGTTAAGGAAAATAGTCTGGCCTTCCTGGACTGTGCAGTACACATTAAGGAAGACAGAAGCCTTAACACTGAAGTTTACAGAAAACCCACACACCCAGATCAATATTTACATTTTGATTCTCACCACCACTGGAGCACAAAATGGGAGTTATCAGAACCCTATACCACTGAGCTGAAGGTCTGCCTACCAGCAAAGATGGGAAAGAAAAAGAACTAAAACATCTCAAGGAAGCCCTCAGAACGTGTGGCTGTCCCAAGTGGGCCTTCATCAAATCTCAAAAAGGACCCAGCAGGAGCTCCTCCGTAACAGACAATGAAGACGACAATAAATGAAGCAATGTTGTAATTCCATATGTTGCAGGAATATCGGAAAAGCTCAGGAGGATCTTCAGCCAACACAATGTACATGCACACTTCAAACCCAAGAATACTCTAAGGCAGAAGCTTGTCCACCCCAAGGATAAAACACCCAGACACAAACTGAGCAACGTGGTATATATAGTACATTGCAGTGAGCCATGTGCAGATCTGTACATTGGGGAAACGAAACAACCACTTCATAAATGCATGGCACAACATAGGAGAACAAACCCATCTGGACAAGATTCAGCAGTCCATCTGCATTTAAAAGACAAAGGCCGCTCTTTCGAAGACAGCAAAGTCCACATTTTGGACAGAGAGGACCGCTGGTTTGAAAGAGGGGTCAAAGAGGCCATCTAGGTCAAAACTGAACAGCTCTCTCTCAACTGAGGGGGAGGGATGTGACATCATCTATCTCCAGTCTACAACACAGTCCTTTCGGCAGTTCCAAGAAGGCCCCACACCCATTTGCACCACTCAGGTGACCCTGAGGACACAGATAAACAACAGATAAACAAGTTGTTGAGGTGGCCTCAACAACTCTCTAAAAGAATGCAAATTACCAGCTGTCTGCAAGAAGTATAAATCCTTCCATTCCCCACCATCCAGTCAGAGCTGAAGAAGCTTCTTGGATGAGAAGCGAAATGTCTTCAAAGAAAGATCAGAAAGTCCAGTTGCCTCCTGAGAAAAGCACCTTTGGGACAACTATGACCTGGATGACTGAGAATCTCCATAGACGTGAAGCTTCTTTGGTTCTTGTGTCAGGACTGCCATCCCGTGTCAGCCATGCTTCGCGAGCTGCCAGTCTGCCATTCATAATGGGGGGAGGGGGCTCCAGGG